TTCAGGTCTCGCGAGAGACCTCATCACAGTTCCCTCCCACCTGCTGAAACTTGCTGAATCTATCGCGAGATACCGCCTAACTCTGGCTAGCCTAGTTTACCCCATCTCGCGAGATCTTCAACACCCTCTCTATTTTCCCGCGATTCCAACTTGGTAAAAATTGCGCCTATGCTCTGACTTCCGAAATCAGCCACACCCCTTCGCAGTACATCTTTGAGCTCCTCCTTAAGCTCCGCCTTACTCCCGGCCACCTTTGCGCTGCGCGCCTGCGCCATCATCCCCGTGGTTCTGGACCCCGAGCCGCCGGCCTGTGCGCGCGCGCCCTCGCCCCTGTTGCGCGTGGTGTCACCTTGGGCGCGAGCGGGGCCGCGCGTGCACGGGACCGGGTGTCCAGGGCCATCGAGTAGCGATGGCGGCGACGGCGAGTCCCGGGGCCGGCGGGATGGACGGGAAACCCCGTACGTCCCCTAAGTCGGTCAAGTTCCTGTTTGGGGGCCTGGCTGGGTAAGCGCAGGCCCTAGGGATGGTAAAGAGGAGGAAGGGACGGGTGCAAGTAACCGGGCCCAGTTCATCTTGGGGTCTTGCAGTGTACTGAGCCGGCCCGGGGTCAGCGCCGTCCTCAGTGTTCTTCGAGGTCCTTGATGGGATACCAGGATATTTCTACCCATTGCAGGGCCCTTACTAGGCTGCATGCGGGGTCATTGCACGGCTCCCGCTGGGCGGCCACCTGAATTTCTCAACCTATTGCTTGGCTCTGCCGGGTTTATGGAGTTCCAGGTCATTGCATGGCTCCTGCCGGTCCTGAATGGGTCGGACTGCATGCAGTCCCAAGTCACTGCGTGACCCCCTTGGAGCTGCATGGAGCACTTTTCATTGCATGCTGGATCATTGGGCTGTTTAGACCCATTGCTCCTGATACACGCATAGACTTATACTCATGTCCAATGACCTCCTGAACATTTAGTCAATCGTATGGCAGGCCCTGCCCCTTGTGACTTGTTGCCAGGCACCAGTAGGCACTGGTAGATCTGGGACACTTTGACTCTACCCCTGTCTTCCCCCAGGATGGGAGCTACCGTTTTTGTACAACCCCTGGACCTGGTGAAGAACCGGATGCAGCTGAGCGGGGAAGGAGCCAAAACGCGAGAGTACAAAACCAGCTTCCATGCCCTTACCAGTATCCTTAAGGCAGAAGGGCTGCGGGGCATTTACACCGGGTATTGAGACCACAGGATGGGGGTTAGGGTGCGGGTTGGCAGTTCCAGACCTTGGCCTAATAGACTGACCCCTTCACTCCCCAGGCTGTCAGCTGGCCTACTGCGCCAGGCCACTTACACCACTACTCGCCTTGGCATCTATACTGTGCTGTTTGAACGCCTGACTGGGGCTGATGGTACACCTCCCGGCTTTCTGCTGAAGGCCCTGATTGGCATGACTGCAGGTGCAACTGGTGCCTTTGTGGGAACACCAGCTGAGGTGGCTCTGATTCGCATGACCGCCGATGGCCGGTGAGTTCCAGGTCTGAGCCCGCCTCCAGCTCCATTCCTTGGAATCTAGAATTAAGGACTAGCTTCCTATCTTCGATCTAAAGCAGAGCATTCACCTGTTCTGGACACCCTTTTTTTGTTCCTGTGGGACAGGATGGTCTGTCCTGAGCTTGGCCTCTCCCTGCCTTCCCACCAGGCTTCCACCTGACCAACGCCGTGGCTACAAAAATGTGTTTAATGCCCTGGTTCGAATTGCTCGGGAAGAGGGGGTCCCCACACTATGGAGGGTGAGTGAAGGGGCTGGAGACCTGAGGGGTGGGGTCAGGTCCCAGGCATTTCTGAATCCTCTTCCACTCCCCACCCAGGGCTGCATCCCTACCATGGCCCGGGCGGTCGTCGTCAATGCTGCCCAGCTCGCCTCTTACTCCCAATCCAAGCAGTTCTTACTGGACTCAGGTGAGACCTAGAGCTGGGCCCTTAGTTCCCAGCCTGGCCTGAGCTGGGCTCTAGCTGACTGCCACTCCCTGCTCCACCTTCCCCAGGTTACTTCTCTGACAACATCTTGTGCCACTTCTGTGCCAGCATGATCAGTGGCCTGGTCACTACTGCTGCCTCCATGCCCGTGGACATTGTCAAGACCCGGTGAGTCTGCAGAACTGGGCCTGGGGAAGGAAGGGAGGGCCCCCGTTAGGTCTCTCATGCCCCTACCTCCTCTCCTTCAGGATCCAGAACATGCGAATGATTGACGGGAAGCCGGAATACAAAAACGGCCTGGTGAGGAAACAGGGCTGGGGGCTTGGGCTGGAGGATTGGATGTCCTGGGAAAACAGTGAGGGTAGCTGGGTATGAGGGCCAGGGCCCCAGAGGCCAGGTCCTAGCCCCAGTGTCCTGCCCACCTGCCTGTCTAGGATGTGCTGGCGAAGGTCGTTCGCTACGAGGGCTTCTTCAGCCTGTGGAAGGGATTTACACCGTACTATGCCCGCTTGGGCCCCCACACCGTCCTCACCTTCATCTTCTTGGAGCAGATGAACAAGGCCTACAAGCGTCTTTTCCTCAGTGGCTGAGGCAGGCGAGGGGCCTGGAGCCAGTGTGCTGGGCTCCCACTCGCCTGCTGCTCCTACCGTCAGTGTGCCCCTGGGGGGCCTGGACTGCTGCCCTGGGCCCCTCTATTTATTTTCCCTCCACAGTGTGGTTCCTTCCTCTGCGGGAAAGGAGTTTGGTCTGCCCTCCCCCTGCTCCAGCTCACCCTGCTTGTCCTGATCTTCATGACCTCTCTGTCCCTGGCTGTGCCTTGGGGGAAGCTGAGAAACTCCCTGAGAATTTCCAGCCTCCTCTCGGGTGTTAGTTTCACGTCACATAGGACAGCAGAAGATTCCCCCTTCTCAGTAGGGAAACCAAGGCAGAGCTGAGGGACTAGAGAGAGCGGGAGCTGTCAGGATGGTCAGAGGGTCTGCAGTGAGAGGACATAATCAATAAATTGGATTTCCTCCACTTCCCTGAGGATTGTAATTGGATTGATAACACTACCCCCAAATTTGAAGAGTTGTGAGGGCTGGAGGAGGGGGGAGACTGGACAAAGAAGTGATGCCCCGGGAGAACATCAACTGGAATTTTTAAGAAAAACGATTAAAGGAAAAGCACCTGCTGGTTTTATGAAAGTGCGATGTAAATCGGTCTCACTGGCAGCTGACTGGGTGAGGAAACCCAAACCCAAGCCCCGTGTCTTGCTTCCCAGCCACTTGGCCAAGAATGCGACAGATGCACAAGTCAGCACAAGTCGGCTCATGTAATCCCCGGGAAAGCCTCGGGCCTGGTGACTGCTTCTGTGGCCTAAAGAGGGAGGGAATAGAGAGTATGGGAAGAGAAGGCTGGCTTGTGTGTTGGGGGGAGGGCGGGGGGGGGTGGTTGTGAGCACAGGAGCCAGACTCCCAAAGCCTGGAGTTTGAGGAACCCGAGACTTGATCTGGGCACTAGGTTGGGGAGAGTAACTGCCTTGTCTGTGTGACTCCCAGACCCTGGCCTCTAGGAGCCCCCAAACCTCTCGGGCATAAAAGGGTACGAGAAGGTCAGCTGGAAGGAGGGTTGGGCGGTATGAGGTCTGAAGGCTCGTGAGCTAGGCCAGGGGACAGGCAGGCAGCAGGTGGGAGCTGCCCTCTTGGCAGAGCCTCTTGATAGAAGTGGAGCTCAGCAGCCTGGCATCGTGCTGGGTCCTCCCACCTTTGCCTGTCTTTACCTGCTCCATGTACACGCTGGCCTGCGCCTTGTGGCCACTTTGAGACACTTGGGGTCTGGGTCTCATACTTCAGGAATTCCAAGTCCAGAGGGGATGATGGCACAGGAGCAGTTCGGGTTGCTGGGAGTGTAGCAATAGTGCGGGTGCTGGGTAACTTGGAGCACCGGCTTTGCTTGGGGGAGGAGAGACCTGTGCACAGTAGCAGACTAGCTGGGGAAGCGGGGCGGGGCAGTTGTGGCTGACATGACCGCAAAGGCAGGGGAGCAGGTGCAATAGCCGGGACACAGGTGAAGTGTTTGTGAGATGGAGCTGAAGTGTTGAATGGATCGGTGCACAGAAGTCCTTGATTGTCACGCTCAGGAGTTTGTCCTCTACCCAGGGAAGAGCTCAGAGCAGGAGAAATTCAGTTGGGTTTTCGAGTTAGGAAGATTCTTCCAGCACCATCTGGGAGAGGAGGTCTCCTCATTCTCTGGGCCCCAAGCCTAGGTTTGTGCTAGAGGCAAGGTAGGACAGGGCCCCATCAGATGTGAGGAGAACGGGAGAATGTGGCACAAGGTGAGAGAAGTGGGTTCCATTAGCGTGCGTCCTAGCTTGAGAGTAGGAAACGGACTACTCGGTAAAACCCACACCTTTCCTCTGTCCCACTCACCTGAACAGCGCAGGAAAGCTGCATTCTGAGACTGCAGGTGAGAGCAAGCACCCACCTTCACTCCCAGTGCCGCGAGCCACAGACAGGTGTTACTAACCTTCAGGGAAACATGGTTCTTGATCTGGAACTGGTGCTTGGGGTGGCCTGGAGGGTGGTCACCCCTGGAGGAGACAACTAGGCCCCCCAAGCAGAAGCGCAATCTACAGCTAGATCTTTTTGGGTGAGTAGTGCAACTAGAGCGGTGGTAGCTGGAGCCTTGGGAAAGCCAAGGACAGGTGTCCCAGCCACTCTTCTCTCCAAAAGAACTTAATTTTTCTTTTTGAAATTATTTTTTATTGTACAAATAATGTGATGATAGAAAATGCCAAGCAGAGAAAAGGAAAACCATATTTATACCACCCCAAGACAATCAGGGTTCACATCTTGATAAATCTCTAAATTTTCAATACAGATAAGTGAGGGCCACTATTCTATTTTTTAAAAATATTTTTTCTTTTTTTTTTTTAGGGAGAGGAATAGAGAGGTAGAAACATCAATCACTGATTGGCTGCCTCCTCCATGCCCCTCACTGGGAATTGAGCCGACAACCCAGGCATGTGCTCTGACCAGGAATTGAACCATGACCTCTTGGTTTATAGGACGATGCTCAACCACTGAGCCACACCAGCCAGGTTCTATTCTGTTTTTTATTTGCTTTTATCTAAAACTTCCCCAAAGTAGTAATAACCTAGTGGTCTGAGACCCCCACCTACATCCAGTGTTTTTTTCTATGAACCATCCACTCCATCTCACTTCCTCTCCTGGCTTACTGGTTTTGAGGTTATGTTCCTGTGGTATGAAGGGAAAGCTTCTGATAAGAAAGTAATTAAGACCTCCCCCTGACCCTGTGATTTTCACTAGCCCCCACTCCCCAGTAGATCCCAATAAGAAAGCCCATCAGAGCCTCTCAAAGTCCCCAAATCACCCAATCTCAGAGGCTGTGGCCAGAGTACCTAATGCCCACTGTACCCAGCAGGTCCTCACCACGACCCAGACTCAGGGCTGAGGGCCGCCGTTCTGCCACCAGAGGCCCCACACGGCCATTAGGCCGGATCCACAGGAAGAGGCTGGAGCGGAAAGTTGGGAGTGATCCTTGGAGGAAAAGCAGCCAGGCCCGGGGCACAGCCACTTGCCTTCCCCTCTGCAGCTCCAGATGTGTGGTGTGCTTGGCTGTGGTCAGGGCAACAGGCTGGCTAAAGTCTAGGGCCTGCGCTTTCATGTTCCGGACCCAGATCAGCAGCAGGATGAGGACCACAGAAGCAAACAGGAGCCAGAGGAGACCCAAGATGTAGAAGCCCAGGGGGAGGAGACAGCAAAAGTCGGGGTTGAGAAAAGGGTCGTTTCTGGAGCTATCCACATTCCCTTGAGCCAGTCCTCGGACCTTTTCGGGGTCGAAAAAGTCCGAGATGATTGTTGTGGATTTTAAGGGAGAGGGGGAGGTGGGTTCTGTGGTCAGTTCTGAAGTGGCCTGGAGTGTGCTGGGTTCTGAAGTTATGGGTTCTGAGGTGGTTGGAGTTGTGGTTTCTGGGGTGCTCGGGGTTGTGATGGGTTTTGGGGTCGTCAGGGTTGTGGCCTCTGGGGTGGTTGGTACTGTGGTGGGCTCTGGGGAAGTTGGGGCTGTGGTGGGCTCTGGGGTGGTCGGGGCTGTGGTGGGCTCTGGGGTGGTCGAGGTTTTGGTGGTTTCAGTCGTGGGTTTTGGAGTGGGGGGGAATGTAATGGATTCTAACGTGGTTGGAAATGTGGTCTGTTTCTTAGAGGACTCACGAGTTGGAGGCAAGTAGGGCATTTGGCTGCCTGGAGAAGCAGTAGATTCTGAGTCAAGTAGGCCCCAGTGAGTTGTATGGGCTTTGGTGTTGGTGATCACATCCCTCGTGGTAGGCACCTTCTCACTCGTAGCGCCCTCGTCATATACATCATAGTCTAGGCCATCCACACTTTTGAGAGGGCCACAGTCCTTCCCTACGTAGTCAGAGACGGTTGTTCCCGTATTGACACATCGCACGCTCTCCACATTGGGGGTCATGGCCTTGTTTTCCTCACCCTCCTTCCATAAGTAGACACTGTCAGCATTGTCTCGCAGCCAGCGACTGAAATAACGGATGCTGCAGTCACAGAACCAGGGGTTATCGTGGAGAAAAACGAAAGGCAGAAGGCGCTCTCCAAAGAAGCCCTCTGGTATTGTTCGCAGCCAGTTTCCTTGGAGGTAGAGGGTGTCAAGCTCCTCCAACCCCTCCAGGAGCTCAAGGGGCAGCTCCATCAGCTGGTTTTGAGCCAGATTGAGCTTCTTCAGCTGGGGCGTGGATGCCAGGAGCCGGGGTGGCAGATTCTTCAGCCTGTTGCCCCGCAGGGAGAGCTCATGGAGGTGGCTGAGGCCATCCAGGGCCCCAGGAGACAATGAGGTCAGCTGGTTGAAGGAGACATCCAGGGTAGTGAGTGCTGGCAGTGTCTGTCCTAGCGAGGGCAGGCTTTTCAACTGGTTTTTGGGTATCTCCAGGGTCTCTAGCAGCGGTAGTTTCACATCGGCCTGCAGTTCGCTCAGTTGGCTGTCACCCAGATGCAGCTGAGTGAGCTTAGTCAGCGGCGCCAGGGACACCATGGAGAAGGTGCGCAGGGGGTTCTCGCCCAGGCGGAGGCTGGTGGTGTCTGCCGGCAAATCTGAAGGCATCGCCTTCAGACCCTGATTGTCACAGTTCACTTCCACCTGGCTGGCCACTCTGGAGACCTCACAGGTGGGAAAGGGATGTGAAAGGCTCGGTAGCAGGAGCAGCAAGAGGAGGAGAGGCATGAGGACCTGTGGGCAAGGGGAGTTTGAGCGGGTGCCTCACTGGCCCCAACATTATTCCCCCAGGCCCTAGCCCTCGCTGAAGCCTCCGGGATCCTTTCCAGAAACTTGGCTCCCACACCTCCCAACCTCCACTCCCCTCTCCTGCCCTTGTCCCCCAAAGCCTTAACTGCTAGCTGCAGGTCCTTGGCTCTCATCCCTCCCTCAGACCCTCTCCCCTCCCCTCCCAGCCCTAACCCCAGCTTACGGGCAGGCAGAAGGGCAGGCAGAAAAACCTCCAAAGGCACAGAGCTTCTTCCAGGGTCTGACTCGGTCCTTCTTTCTTCCAGCTCTAGGGAGGGCCTGGTCAGGGGCAGGAAGGGAATGGGGATGGGAGGAAGTGCCAACCTGATAGGGACTCCTGTGACCCAGTGAACAGTCTCCCTTCCGGACACAGGCCCTTATCGCCCCCTTCCACAACCTTCCCCCAGGCCCTCCTTTTGGCTCTAATTTCTCCCACTTTCCTTCTCCAGCAGGGAGATTGGGAGTGGACTTCTTTAACCACCACCCTCATCCAGCTTTTAGAAACCTCTCCAGCTGCCACTCTCACTTCCCCTCCACAGCTACATCGTTAGAGTCGCCTAATTTTAACCCTCACCTCCCTCTGCCTTCTCGCCTGACTCTACGCTGGTTTCACCCCTCCATTGTTTAGTGTTCTTTTCAAAATTGCCGATGCCCCCAACCCCTCTACAGCCACTGGGCACTTCTCCATCATTCTCCAAAGTCTGCATGCTCACGGTCACACCCACCTCGGGACTCCTAACACTAATCTTCCTGGTTTTCCTTTTACCTTTCTGGCTAGCCCTTCCCCATCCCCTTTGTGGATTCTCCTTCCTCTGCCCTTCATGGAAATTAACCAGTCCCAGACTTTGGTTCTTTGGGCCCCTTCTTTTTTTTATGCTACACAAACCCCTGAGATTATCCTTGTCCATTCCCTTGCATTCAACTACCACTTGTACTCCAGGGACTTTTAAAATTTTATCTCTAGCCCAGACCTCTCTCTTTTTAAAAAAAATATATGTTGTTGATTTTTCACAGAGAGGAACGGAGAGGGATAGAGAGTTAGAAACATCGATGAGAGAGAAACATCGATCAGCTGCCTCCTGCACACTCCCTACTGGGGATGTGCCCGAAACCAAGGTACATGCCCTTGACCGGAATCGAACCTGGGACCCTTCAGTCTGCAAGCCGACGCTCTATCCACTGAGCCAAACCGGTTAGGGCCAGACCTCTCTCTTGAGACCCAAACACATATATCCCACTGCCTTTTGGATTTCTTGAGTGTCCCAAAGACACTAGAACAATATGTTCAAAACAGAGCTCATCTCTCTCCAAGTAGCTTATCTGCCCGTATTGTCCAGCCTGGTGAATGGTACCATTATGCATTTATTTTCTCTACTAGCGATTTTCAACCGTTTTCATTTCATGGCACACATAAACTAATTACTAAAATTCTGCAGCACATCAAAAAATACATTTTTGCCAATCTGACAAAAGAATAGGTATAACTTTGATTGATTTACCAATAATAATAATAATAATGGTAATTACCTACACTTTTTGCTCCAAAGTGACTTTTTAAAAAGTCAGGTGCCATTAAAAAAAAAAAAAGCCAGATACCTGTATTTGTATATAAGGATTTTTGGTACCAAAACTTAACCAATAGTTGCAACCTTATGCAACATGATCAACAAGATGCAACTTTATTATATGACATATATGTATGGTTCAAGATGGCATTCACACTGGACTGCTATTGTGTTGGCTATTGATATTTATTTATTAATTTTTCAAAGTAACATTTTTATTTTTTATTTTATTTTTAAAAAATATATTTTATTGATTCTTTACAGAGAGGAAGGGGGAGGGATAGAGAATTAGAAACATTGATGAGAGAGAAACATCGATTCAGCTGCCTCCTGCACGCCCCCTACTGGGGATGTGCCGGCAACCAAGGAACATACCCTTGACCAGAATCGAACCTGAGACCCTTCAGTGTGCAGGCTGACGCTCTAGCCACTGAGCCAAACCAGTTAGGGCTTTATTTATTTTTAATATATTTTCATTGATTTTAGAGATAGGAAGGGAATTGGAGAGAGATAGAAACATCAATGACAGAGAAACATGGGTTGACACTCAACTACTGAGCCACACCTGCCAGGCTGATGTCATTTTTCTGTTTTGTTTTGTTTTTTTGTTAATCCTCACCCAAGGATATTTTTCCATTGATTTTAGAGAGAGTGTTAGGGAGGGTAAGGGACAGAGAGAGAGAAACATCAATGTGTCTCTTTCACATCTATTGGTTGCCTCCTGCATGTGCCCCAACGGGGCTGGGGATCGAGCCTGCAACCGAGGTACATGCTTCACTGGAATTGAACATGAGATCCTCCAGTCCGTGGGCTGACGCTCTATCTACTGAGCCAAACCAGGTAGGGCTGTTGTCATTTTTAAAAATTTGACAGTCTAAGGGAAAAGAGGTCAGTGCCCCTGACTAAATAGCCAGGTATAGCATGTTTTAAAAATTATTGCAGCACACTAGTGTGCCACAGCATACAGGTTGAAAATCACTGGTCTGGCCCAGCCAGTGTGGCTCAGTGGTTGAGTGTTGACCCATGAAACAAGAGGTCCCTGGTTCAATTCACAGTCAGGACACATGCCTGGGTTTCGGGCTTAATCCTCAGTAGGAAGTGTGCAGGAGGCAGCTGATAGATGTTTCTCTATCATTGATGTTTCTATCTACCCCTCTCCCTTCTTCTCTCTAAAATCAATAAAAACAGATTTTTAAAAATTGCTGGTCTGGCCCTGGCTTGTTAGAGTGTCATCCTGAAATGGCAAGGTTGTGGATTTGCATTCCAGTTAGGGCACATCCAAAAAATAACCAAAGAATGCATCATAAATGGAACAACAAACTGATGTTCCTCTCTCTCTCTAAAAACAATAAATTAAAAAAAAATTGCTGGTCTAAGATAGATACAAAAAAAAGAACAAAAGATGTGTGGCTGGTGTGGCTCCGTTGGTTGGATGTCATCTCCTGCACTGAATGGTTGCCAGTTCAATTCCTGGTCAGGGCACATGCCCGAGTTGTGAGCTCAAGCCCCAATGGAGGACATGCAGGAGGCAGCTGATGAATGCTTCACTCTCACATCAATGTGTCTCTCCCTCTCTCTCTAAAAAATATTGATTAAAAAAGAGGTGTGGGCCAAAACCGGTTTGGCTCAGTGATAGAGTGTCGGCCTGCGGACTGAAGGGTCCCAGGTTCGATTCCGGTCAAGGGCATGTACCTGGGTTGTGGGCACATCCTCTGCGGGGGATGTGCAGGAGTCGGCTCATTGATGGTTCTCTCTCATCGATGTTTCTGACTCTCTATCTCTCTCCCTTCCTCTCTGTAAAAAATCAATAAAATATAAAAAAGAGGTGTGGGTTTTTTTTTGCCCTAACTGGTTTGGCTCAGTGGATAGAGCATCAGCCTGCAGACCAAAGGGTCCCAGGTTCGATTTTGGTCAAGGGCACATGCCTCAGTTGCAGGTTCCTCCCCCAGCCCGGGCCCTGGTTGGGGTGCATGCAGGAGTCAACCAATCAATGTGTTTCTCTCACATCAGTATATCTCTCTGTCTTTCCCTCTCTCTTCCACCCTGTCCAAAAATCAATGGAAAAATATCCTTGGGTGAGGATTAAAAAAAAAAAAAAAGACAAAATAAAACGAAAGCCCAAAGGAGGAAAGAGAACAACAGAAAGAAAGAAAATGCTGGTCTAGTCATTCAATCAATATAAACAAAATCCCTGATAGTTATCCTTGACGCCTCCCCTCCCTCATCCCCACATCTAACTTGTCACCAAATTCCATTGATTTTACCTCCTAATCACTTTCAAATCCACTTTTTTCCTTTCCCTGCTGCCACCATTTCTAGTCCAGGGTGCCATCTTCTCTCTGCTGCTTCACCGAAACAGCCTCCCACCTGGTGTCCTAGCTTTCTGACTTCCCTTTCTCCCATTCTCCACTGGAGCTTTCAGAACTTCAGATTTGCTCAAATACTTCACTGCTTACTCATCAATGGCTCTTTCCAGGAGGAAGTCTAAGACCCCTCACATGACCTATAGAGTCCTATGCAATCTGAAGCTTGCCTACCTCTCCAGCCCCATCTCTTAACACTAGACCATTTTCTTACTTGTACCTGGACTCTCTCATCTCTTACCTCCTCCTGTGTAACTCTTATTTATATGGGAAGTTCCAGTCCAGAATTCCTTCATCTAGAAAGCTCTTAGGACTTGCCAACATCAGGTTAGGTGCCTATTTCAGAGATCCAGCCACCATATCCTAATGATTTAAATGTCCAACCTACTATACCCCAGAAAGGGCATGAGTCTGCCCTTGTCTATTTGCCATTGGTGACTGGACAAGGGGTGGACACGAGCCAGATGCAGTTAGTCCGTAGTCTTGCCATTTATATATTTGCAAAAAGTATTGGAAAATGTGGAGAAAAGGAGACAGCAAGCAGCAGGAAGTGAGGCATAAAGTTGTATAGAGAGAGATGACGATGTGGAATCAGGCCCTGAGGCTGTTGGTTTTTGCTGCCTTAGTAACAGGGTTTATAGTGGTAAGCAGCAGAAGATGACCTGGTTAATTTAGGCTGAAAGGAATTTATTAAAAATACACTGGCTACTTTACAGATTTGTCAGTAAGGGCTAGAGCACCAAACTTGGAACTGTGTAGCCAGGACAGTGCCCAGAATTAGGCTGCAGAACCAGTCTGGTGAGCAAAGCTCTGCTCCTGCTGCAAGACCAGGTCATTGAAGCTTGGACTGCTCCAGCTGCCGAGCCAGGGACTCGGTGTTTACTCAACCTCCCGCTGCAGAGAGAGAGAATTCTGTGCCACTGCTACTCTTTGTGATACTAACTCCTGAATCAACATCTGGTGTGACCTGATTGATCGTGTGCCTGTGACTCCGTGGGTCAGTGAAAGCAAGTATCTGATATTTCCAGCTTTTGTAATAGGAACCAAGTTCTGCTTCTCCAAGGATTCATAAGTTGAAGGATTTTTGCAGTCATAGGTAAGAGATTCATGTGCTTTGGCACCTGCTGAAATGATCCTATTTTTTATTTTCTTCCATGTCAATGTCCTTAATTTTTTCCAATTTTGCATCTTTGAATGCTTGGGATGAACCCTATGTGGCCATTATGAATTATTTTTTTTTTTAGTATAATTCTAGGTTGGTTTGCTCACATTTTCTTTAAAACTTTTACATCTACATTAGAAAATAAGAGTGGTCCAAGTTGATGTCAGCACCATGATTAAGAAGACTCCA